CCCACCCATCACACTATTATTCGTAATATGACGGTTAAATTATGTATGATATTTTTGGTCTATTAATAATGTAGTAATTAGGTTCTAATAAAAGACAATCTGCTAGTTTGTGATTTCTAAATAATTTGCTTTGGGGACACTTACCACTCACATGAATTTGCACTTACCAAATTATTCAGACATATGAACATACGTACGATGTCTGAATAATTGTTAAGTGCAAAATTTATGAGAATGATAAGTGTCCAGAAACCTGATCTATCAGAAGAGGTATGCGTAATTGTACTGGTCCTGAGCGTCATCGCATGTCACGCAGCTATCAATATTTTTTTACAATTACAGAATTATGCACATATGATATATAATATTGCATGTGAATATTATGACTCAGTCCCAAGCCTGACTTGGGACCGAGCCTAAATTAAAACTTGACTTTCATGAGTCGAGTCAGACCGGACCAGACTTTTCACATCCCTATTCTTGGAACACGAATCGGGACCGGAGCTGATCTCTGTGAACTCTTTTTTAGGTTTTGGGACCTTTTTTCTATAAATGTAGATTGGGAGCAGGTTATTTTTAAGTATCATCTTTTTTCATTCTTTGGTGCTAACATATTTCCTTTTTTAGGTCTTGGTCTTCCTTTTTGAAAAGCAAAATAGACCGGGACTGATTTCTGAGATAAGTACTAGTCTTTGTAGACTGAACTAAATATCTTTCTTTAGGTTTCATGAGTTTGAAATCAGAAAATGGAATGTGAAAATATGAAATTTGAGATGGTATCAGTCATTTTCTTCGCTTATATAGTTAGGGATTGTATAGTATGAGCGCTGCCAAGAGAAAACCACAGTTTGGAATTTCAATTATATTTTGTATCGAATACAATCCCTATAAATTAGATAGATGATGTTCGGTAAAAAATATATTCACATAGCAGCACTCATACGATGGTCTATTAGGTACTTCTCCATGGCTTCAAAATGTTGTAATTGATGATCGGGTCTATTAGTCTATTAGGTCATATTGTCATCACTATGACTAAGGTCATGAATTTATAATATTCTAATAGTTAAATTTATTTAAATTGTACATAGAATTTGTAACAGATTCGTTACATTAAAAACAAATAAAAATTTATATTGACGACTTTATCTGTAAATCGAAGAGTTAAGTATTAGAAATAAATAATCCAATGTAAATTCATATATATAGTAACATTATATTAGAAAACCAAAATTAGGAATGAATAAAACTACATACTATTTAGAAGATTTAGAAATAAAAAACTGTTTATGATTTAAATAAAGAATAAGCAATATTTAAAATATAAAAAATAAAACCATCCAGCTTACCGAATGATATATGGAGATAGAAAATCGTTCGCAAATCTAAATAAATAACTAAACTTAACCAAAATTATATAAACATACGATCGAATTATATCAGTAAACTTACCAAATGATAGTAAAAATTGGAATACTTGAGAATTTAGATAAACATCTAAACTAAGATTATAATGCATAGAAAAAAATCTTGTTACTTAAAATGAGATACAAATTTGATGATATAAATTAGCATTGTTTCTTTCTAAATATACTACAGATAGATATTGTCAAGGAAAAACAAACATTCTTGAATTTCAGATTAACACCTTGTGAAGTACCGTAGAGCACTTATCAAAAGACCCAGGTATATTATGCTGTAGTGGGTTTGTGTCGCAAGGAAGAAAATTTTCAAGTGCATACATATTTCGCATTTACGATAAGGGAGTCACAGATATTATATAATATAGTTTTAATAGTAGCTAACTCCCCCTCCCCCAGGTAAGTAGCTAGTAATAATATATTTTTATTATGGGCATGTAAGAGATCTTCTCCCTAAAGATATATAATATCTGCGACTCTTCTAAGCAGTCTAGAAATTTAAAAAACCTCATTTAATTAATGGAGATTTTGTTTTGCGCCAGGGTATTTTGCACAGGGTACTCAATAAGGGGTCTTTTGGGCAGTGCTCAATGGTATGTAGCTTATCAACTCAAAGAGTTATAATATAGTCGTATTAATAGATTCAAGCCCGTGCACATAAGGTGAAATCTCAAAAATCATGAATTACCCTTTTCCCTCGGCCTTGTTTGTTTATTTGTCATAGATGTAATAAAACCTGCATAACATACCAAATGAAAATTGAAAAATAGTGTAATCTATTTCAACAAACAAGCGATATCCTAAATTATAAATGCAAAATCGAATTAAAAATGATATTTGGACAAATGCATATGTAGATCTTGCTAAAAAAAATAGAAAGCCAGTTGTATCACTTTGAATAGTCACGTCACATATATTTATTGAATGTGTCTCATATTCGTCTTTTTGATTCCAATTCTATCAAGATCGCATGAATCGACCAGGGCAACCTTCAAATTTACGGGTCGTGTGAGAAAAATGTCACTGCCATGTTCATAATGTAATAATTATGAAACTGCAACCATAACTCATAAGATTGTATTGGACCAACGAAGCTAACTTGTCGAGATGGCTCTTTGTTAAGTTACATGGCTCTGTATCCCCAGTGCTACAAGTTCCAGAGGTAACTGGTTAACCCATGTCATTATAAACATGATGTAGTTAAAAATGTTGGTGAATTTCGTCACTGTTGGCGAAATTAATTTCACCAGGTTATTATTCGGGTCAATGATTATATGAAAAATCTTGCGATGTGCGCCCGTCATATCATATCTACATATACCAAATATATTTTTTTAACAAATATTTACAGCCATTTTCATAAATTCTGGGGCACTTGAAAATTTTGCTTGTTTCCCGAAATCTCTTTTAACTCTTCGGAAACCACGTCACTGTCTTCAGAACTTCGGTCTGATTTCTGGAGAGTCAGATGATTTATAAGATAAACCGAAGGGATATCGGGAAATGAAAAAATTTTCAAGTGTTTTAGAATTTATTACAGCTATTATCATAATTCCTGAAACATCTAAAAATTTTCTCATTTCCCGGATGCTTTTCTGCCTCGCCTAGTAAATTACCTAACTCTCCGGGTCTCCGGAAATTACATTGTTGCCCTCAGACTGAAGGTTAGAAAATAGCGATGTAGTTTCTGAAGAGTTAGATAATTTACCGGACGAAACAGAAAAGATTCTGGAAAACGAGAAAATTTTTGGTGTTTCAGGAATTATAACAACAGCTGTAAAATAGCTGTAAATCAGATCTTTTTGGAGTTCATATTAATAATTTCTTGACCTTTATTACAGCTGTTTTCATAAATTCAGGGACATCTGGAAAAAAGTTGACCAACCGAATATTTGCTAATTCGTTAAGTTTTGATTCGTCAGTTATCATTACCAAAATCACAAACTTATCGGATCGACAAATATTCAGCCAGTCAATTTTTTGCCAGATATCCCTGAATTTATGAAAATAGCTATAACATCAGGAATCATCGAAACTGGCCACTAATCTTTATTTATACTATTTGACCCAATTTTTGACTTATGATCTATTAAGAAACTGACCCGTACAAGTCAACCTGATGCGGTAAGATAAATTGTAGTTTATCAATGTGATTATACCATAATGCATAATACGCATTAAAGTATTATTTTAGTTTTATCTATTTTGAATCCTGACACGATTTGACTCTGGATAGGTTAATTTTCGACCCGTGACCCATACGGGTCAACTGATATGGGTAACATCTCTACTTACGGGTCGACTAAAACTCAACGCAGTTATCCGCATACCACTAGATGCATATTTTTTTTAATTAGACATTATTAAAATTAAAAATATGCAAATATTAATTATTAAAATCAGTTAACAATCATAAAAACATTCTCATTATATACCTTTCACCTATGTAGGAAGTGTTTCAACTTGAATAATTGTGAATAAGAGTCCATTAATGCATATCTCTTTTTAATTAATTCCTAATTAGACATTATTAAAATTAAAATAATGCAAATATTAATTGTTAAAATCTGTTAATAATCATAAAAGCGTTCCTGTGTATTGATTCAGCCAGGGCGGCCTCCAAAGTGCCAGTAATGTAATTACTTCACCAATCAGGTAATACTATATAGCTATATATATTAAAGTCACTTATTGTTAAATATATAGTATTATCTGATTGGTGAAAATGATTTACATCACTGGCACTTTGGGGGCCGCCCTGGCTGAGCCCCTGGATTTACTTGTGTTAAAAGCATTTCAACTTGAATAAGTGTGAATAAGAGTCTATTCAACGTATATCTCAATTAATATTCCTAATTAGACACTATTAAAATTAAAAGTATATAAATATTAATTGTTAAATTCCATTAATAATTGTAAAAGCAGTCCCGTCTTATCCTTTTTACCCATGTTTACTAGTGCTAAAAGCGTTTCACCTTGAGTAAGTTGAATAAGAGTCCATTCGACATATATGTTTCAATTAATATTTCTAATTAGACACTATTAAAATTAAAAGTATGTAAATATTAATTGTTAAAATCCATTAACAATCTTAAAAGCATTCTAGTCATATATTTTTACCCGTATTTACCTGTGTTGAAAATGGTTCAAATTGAATAATTATGTATGTAAATGACTTAAAAATATTGATTGACGATTCACAAACAATTAAATTACCATTAATCTTCACAATTTATCTAATTACAAAAATTAAATCTTTGTATTAATTGTACATTAAAGGTGTTTTAACTTAGATATATATAAATCTAAAAATATATTGATTTCATAAATAATAATTATAAATAATAATTAATGTTTAAAAAATATATATATAAATAGCAATTGAAAAAAAAGTTAAAAAATAATAAAATAAACTTTCTTAAAACATAATCTTTTCAAAGTGTGCATTCTAATCTTTTCAAATATTATTTAATTTGATTCAAATATGTCAAACATAAAAAAATTCAATACTTTACCTATTAGTGAATACTTGGAAGATGTAGACATGAGGATGTGGGAAATACGGAGGATATAGACGAAATGGAAGATATAGAAATGGAAGATGTGGAAGAAACAAAAGATATGGAAGATCCTGAAGGTGTAGAAGGCATTGAATGTATAAAAAGCATTAAAGGCGTAAAAGGCGTTGAATATGTAGAAGGCATTGAAGGTGTAGAAGATATTGAAGACATAGTAAATACAGGAAGTGTAGAAAATGAGATCACCAGTACTAGTAAAATACCTATAAAAATCTTACCTAGAGCGAAAAATAGTAAAAATATTAAGACATCACCTGTGTGAAAATATATGCATGAAGAAAAAATCAGAAATAAAACAGTAAGAATATGCGATATTGAAGGATGTGATCAAAAATATGGTCCCACTACAAGTACTGGAAACTTAAATAATCATCTTAAAAATAAACATAATATTACACTTTCTTTAAAAAAGAACCGTTTACAGTTAACTGAAAGACCATATGGAAAAGGAGATATCGAACGTAAAAAAGAGTGTTTTGATTCTATCTTTAATCTTATAATTGGCGACCAACTTCCATTCTCGTTTATTGAGCACCCTTTGGTTATTAAAATGTTAAATATATATGATCCAAGATATGTGTTACTGTCTCGTAAATACTTAACGAAAGTAACCATATCTAGGTTTGAAGCTTGCCATAAATTTGTTGCAAAAGAACTTGAAGACATTAATACTAAAGTCACTCTTACCACAGACATTTGGACATCAAGTGCAAGACAAGCATACATAGCAGTAACTATCCATTATATTGATGATAAATGGAAGATGTATCATTTCTTGCTTGACCTTATTTGCTTTAAATATAATCATACTACATTAAGCATAAAAAAGATTCTTATAAATATTTGTAAAGAAATAAATATTAGTGGTAAAGTAATTGCACTAACAACAGACAATGCCTCTTCAATGGTTTCATGCGGAAATTTATTAGAACAAGAATGGAGTATATTTGGATTTCATCACCATTGCTGTGCAGCCCATATCCTTAATCTCACTGTAAAGCATGATATGGAACATCATAACAAAATACTTGATAAGGTTCGGCAATTTATAAATAAAGTTCGGGATTCATTAGTTTTAAGTGACAAGCTCCAAGATTTCTGTATAATAAATAAAAAAAAATATAGTAAGCTAATACTTGATGTAGCTACACAATGGAATAGCACTTATCGTATGCTTTGCCGATTCAAAGAAATGCAAGATGAACTTACTCTTCTTAAAACTGCATATCAGGAACTTGAAAGCAGTTACCCTAACAAAGAGGAATGGAAAAGCATTGACATTATGATCTATTTACTAGAGCCAATGCTTGATGCAAATGAAATGCTCTCGAAGAGTTCGTATCCAACTATTTCTGATATTCGTTTGACTTTTATGGGTATTATGCAACGTATCAACCACTTTACAACTGATAAATCATGTTCAAAAGAGGAATGCACAATGGCAAGCTCTATTAATAACACATTAAAAAAATATTGGGCTATTCATGACTGTGATGAATCAGCAAAAATAGCTACAATTCTTGATCCAACATCTAAATTGATCACATTTCCACTTCTTAATGAGAGAGATATCGCTATTGCCAGTCTGCGAAATGTAATAGCTCAGTATGAATCACCAGTATTAGCGACAAATGCTGCTTCTACATCATCATTTTATGATAAAAGAAAAAAATTTATATCATTAATATCGCAACAACAAACTATTGAGCTTCCTAGAATCGGATTACCAGTGTCAAAAGAGTTGAAAACATATTTGTCTTTACCAATAGTTGAAAGTGACTCTCTTCAGTGGTGGGCTGATAACAAGTGCAGGTTTCCAGTACTTGCAAAAATAGCACAAGATTACCTTGCAATCCAAGGAACATGTGTTCCTTGTGAAGAAGCGTTTTCCACTGCATCAATAACAATTTCAAAGCTTCGTAATCATCTCAACCCCGAAACTGCTCATGCATCGCTCTGTTTAAAAAGTTGAATGGAAAATAATATTGAAGCATATAAACAAAAATACCAGTAAATCAAATTAATACTGTTATATAAACACAATTTTTACATTACTATCGATACTTTCCTAGTGCTCTTTATCAAATGTCTTTAAATAATTAAATTAATATATTAGTTATAGTCAGCGTTATTTTCTCATAATTTTAATTATACTTATCTTAATAAAAATCCGGTTGTTTGGTTCCTTAGTTCTAACGTACAAATAAAAAACTAATATTGCTCCACATTCCAAGCAAAAATCTCCTTTTCTCTCGCTAGATATTTCTCATTATCCGCTTAATTTTGGTGATTTTTACCAAGATGTCTTGGGTTTTAGTTTCTAAGTTCTTATATTGAATTTCTAAGTCTTGTATTTCTTTTTCTACATCCCACAGAAGTTACTAAATTAAAAATGTTAAAAAGTAATGAATATGTCATAAGTGGGAACAGAAAAGAAATGTTTAAGTAACAATCATAAATAAAACTAGCAAATCTAAAAATGGTTTAAACGGTGCAATATAACTAACTCTTAAAACAAAGCAAATTGTTTAGTAATTGACTTGCTAAGGTTATCAAAACTGGCTTTGATTTTAGGTTCTTCATGGGCTTCTCATTTAATAATATCTCTTAATAGAAGTAACTTTCGAATCGCTTATACATAAAACTATTTATGAAATAAAAAGCATGTTTCACTGTCATGTAACATCTATATGTATACAGTAATGTATTCTTAGTAATTCAGTAATTGTAATACTTTAGCTATCACTAGCGATAGTACCGTATGTCACGTGACTCGGCTCGAGCTGGCTCAAGCCGGCCCTGTCAGCTCGGCTAAAAAGCTGTGGCTAAGTCGGCTTACTTTAAGCCGATCACATCCTTAGAACAAGTAGACAAAAACAAGATTTTTAAGGAAAAAATGCAATATAGATAATAAAAATTACAGATCATATTATAATATAAAACATTTAAATAGAATTTTTTAAGGTCAAAAGTCATAGTAAAGATAGATAAAATGATAAAGCAGATAGTCTAGCAAAAAAAGATGCAACAAGTAAAAGAACAATACAGGCTGAAGAAGTCAATTGTGAAGAGATAAAGTACTGCTTAGAGTGGAAAAACAACTATACTAACATACTAGCAAGATTGCTTTGCAAATTAATAATAAATGCAAGACTAGAAGCAAAATAAAAGAAAATAAAAGCAATTAGAGAATTAGAACCAGAAACAAAAATTATAATACATGATTGGATATATTTTTGGAAAAGACTAAAGACAACTAAAGGAGTATATTGCATAATGAGAAGAAGTAGTGCTAAAAGAAGTGCATTTATAAAGTGTATAATAGAGAAGCTTTTAATACTAGAAAAGCTTAACAAAAGAAGACCAAATATATACATAACAACAAAGTGTCAAATGTGTCAAAATACAACAAAAGAAATACAATCACATCTGATAGTATGTAAAAGACAAAGAAATCTTTGGAAATAATCCAAAAAGTGATGATTGCTACAGTCTGAAAGAGGCTGAAAGAAGAAAAAAAGTTTGAGTTTCTTCATATATATTATACATAGCACTTTTTGAAAAAACAGAAGTTGAAGAAATTAAAATAAGAGAGGCACTAATCAAAGGACTTATTTCAAAAGAAACACAATACAGATTAAGACAGATCCTAAGTACAAAATCAAGATAGCAGTTTATGAGTATAATAGCAAGAATGGCCTAGAACACATTTTATAAACAAGTATAAAGAATTCATTGTAAGAAAATTAATGAATAAGAGAAAAATGAAGAAATAACAGATAGGATAAAAAGAAAAAAAGAGAAAAAAAAAGCACCAAGGAAAAAAGAAAAACCAAATTAGCAAATAATAGAAGAAAGAAAAGAGAAAGCAAAAAAAAAAAAAAATCAGAAACAAAGCATAGAAGACAATTTTAGAGCTTATCATAGAAGAAAGAATACCCTTTCATTATAGACTTTAAGTGATCAGATGAGCAGCTTACTTCTGCTTAAAGTAATGCAGCAGATTGCACTTAGATATCATTAAGGTGGTTGAGTAATGCTGGACTTAGTTGTTAATGATATTTATATAATTGCAAATATAATTTCAAAATCTTAATAAAGTATTAACATGAAGTATGATGACCTAGTGAGTGAATAGGTTGTTAACCTCCAAGTGGCAGGTTTAAGGTTCAATTCCCACAGATGACAAATTTTGAAAATTATATCTGCATTATAATAACTGTCTCTTGTCGATTAGTTGAATTTATCATCAATATCTTAGGTACATCAGATCAGAACTCATCTCATTTTAGGAGCTTGGGGCATCTATAGGAAGTGTAATATTACATATACATAATAGAATATTAAAACTGATGTCACAAAAGACTTTGGTGCAAACCCATTATAAGACAACTAGGCATAGAAAACTAGAAAATTGAGAAAATTGAAGCCCACTTGGAAATCCTAAATAAAAGGTAACACAAACCTTTAATAGTGCTGTTGGACTAATAGAAGCCCATGAAACAACTTTATAAAAAACTATCAAATGAACTAGATGACAAGATGTATAGAAGAGCATATAACCAACCAGGCTGCTAAAATCACTGAAGGAAAAGAATATATAAGTATACTATATGAAGATAGGTACCAAAGTTTGGATGAACTTTACAAGAATAATAGAAGTTTAATAGGTAACCCTAACTGCAAATATTGGTCTTAGATATAGTGTAAACCAAATTAGTAGTAAAAGAGAATATGGCTTGCTCTAGTAGGTTTACCTTAAAAATAAAAATAGTCTAAGAAGTATAGTTCTATAGTTAAAAGTGAATAGATTTGAGTCTATAAGCTAGTGAAATTAATATCAGTATTAGATCAGAGAGTTTAAATAAAACATCTAAACAGAGGTGTTAAATATACAATTGGTAAGGAACCTTCAGGCAGACTCTTTAAATAAGTAATATAAAAAAGTTACACATGTAGTTAGTTGTATACTCATCTGATAGTTTATTATAGATTTGTCTATATAAAACATATACCTAATATAAGTATTAATAAAAAGCTAGGACCAAAGAGATCATCTTAATATCGAAAAAAAATAAAGTACTAGCATAACTGCTTAAGGATTAAAAAAAAATAATAATTAGCAATATGCAATAGTAAAATAGATTTTAATATGAAGTTTTACAAAATTCTTTTTGTTAATATGTAAAAAGTAGTTTTATATGTGAAATTTTAAGTTACAAATATTTTTTTAAAAAATCATAATTTTAAGATTATATTTAATTTTAAATTCTAATTAATTAAATACAAAGCTATAAATTTTACAACTTATAAAATTAGCAATTTTTCAAATTTTAATAAAATAATTATTTAGTATTATTAATAAAATTATAATAAATTAATTTATTAAATAATTTTTTTTTAAAGTTTAAAAAGAGACCTTTATAGCTTTGTAAACTTTTATTAAGTATAATATTCTATTTATTTATATAAAAGATATTACATTTTGCATATTAATAAAGCTATATATATGAGGATGGTGATCTTAGTATAGTGGTTGGGTTGTCATCCTCTAAGTGGCAGATCTAAGGTTCAAATCCCACCTACGACAAAATTTGGAAATTATATCTGCATTATGGTAACTGTCTTCTGTCGATCGGTTGGCCTCATGTGGCTGTTACCCAGGTACACCAGGCCAGGTCCCTCCAGCTTTGGGAGCTCAAGGCATCTATACGAAGTATAACATTACATGTATATAGAGGAATGTTAACTAGTGTTGCATAAGGCTTCAGTGCAAACTCATGATAAGACCACTGGGTGTAGAAGACTAAGGAACTGAGCTGACGGAAACCCACTTGGAAATTCCTAAGTAAAAAGGTAGCATAAACTTTTGACAGTACTATCAGACCAGTTAAAGCCCATGAAACACTTCATAGGAACTGAATATTAAAACCGGACGACAAATATGTGTAGAGGAGCATATAACCAACCAGGCTGATGGGTTCACTGGAGGAAAAGGATACAGAAGTATATCATACCAGGCCATCTGGATTGGTAGTCTGGATAAATAAGACTAACGGTTCTGAGTTGTGGCTAGTAGAGGATGATGAAAAAGATGCTAAAAAGATGGGTACTGAAGTTCTAATAAACTTTATAAGAGTAGAATAGTATAATGTAGCAGTTAAACAGGTAATCTCTGTGACTGCAAGTGTTAGATAACTATAGCATGTTGCATAAAACTAGGTCTAGATGTGTGGAACATAAATGCTCTAGTAAGTTTCCTATTGAAGATAAAGTAGTCCTAAGGAGACTAATAAGCATTGAACTTGGATGGGCAGCACCTTGAGATGTTCTTGTGATACAAAGAGGACTGCATATGCAGAGGGTTTAAATAGCCAAGACCTCTAGTTGGCTTGCAGGTATGGCAACTAGTGTAGAACTTATATAGTAATGTGTAAGCAGACTACTTAAATTAGGCACCAAAAGTGCACGTGTGGCTAGTTGTAACCTCCAATGTAAGGTAAGCCCTTGGTGGCATGCCGTGTCCTAATATACTTGAATAAAAACATCACAACTCCCAAGATAGGGACTTTAACTTAAAAAAAAAATAAAATAAAAATAAAGCTATATATACAATTTTAGTTATTGTCTATTTAAAGATTCTATTTTCAATTTATTACTAATTGTTATATTTAAAACCTGCCTATGGATTTTTTATTTAAAGCCTCTAATTTTTGATACTTTTTTTATAATACTAGATTTAATTTAGTATATATTAGATTTTTGGACTATTTTAACTATTAGATAAACTTTACTAAAACAGATGTAGATCTTACAACTACATTTATTACAGATTTTTTTGCCAGAGGTGTTCTTTGATTAGTAAGGCTGATCTTTTTTACAGGTTTTTTTTTTATTACTTCTCTTACCAAATATAATGTCTGCACTTTACAAGTTAATTTTCTTTTAAGAATTCTTAATTCAAACAGATAT